GTGTGTGTGTGTGTGTGTGTGTGTGTGTGTGTGTGTGTGTGTGTGTGAGTGTTTTAATATTGAGTTGAAAGCGTTCCAAGCTTTTATCTCCTCTCTTCTCATCTCTTCTCCTCCACCAGCTCTCCGTTCCTCCTCCGCCGCATCTCTTCCCCACCACCCCTCTCTTGTCCTCCTATCTCCTCTCCTCACCTCTCCTCCACCACCTCTCCTCCTCTTCTTCTACCTTCTCCTCTCCTCCTTCTCCCCCTCTCCTCTCTCCCTCCTTCACCTCTCTTTTCCTACCTTCTCCTCTCCTTCTCCACCTCTCTTCACCTCCTCTTTCCTCCTTCTTCACTTCACCTCGCCTCTCTCCCTCTTCCACCTCTCTTCTCCTACCTTCTCCTTTCCCCCTCCTTCACCTCTCCTCTCTCCTCTCTCCTTCTCCACCTCTCTTCACCTCCTCTTTCCTCCTTCTTCACTTCACCTCTCCTCTCTCCCTCTTCCACCTCTCTTCTCCTACCTTCTCCTTGCCCCCTCCTTCACCTCTCCTCTCTCCTCTCTCCTTCCTCCACCTCTCTTCTTCACCTCTCCTTCCTCCACCTCACCTCTCCTCTCCCCCTCCTCCACCTCTCCTCTCTAATCTCAGTGTGCATCACCTCATATGCTGCCTCCTGCTTTCTCCTGCTGTGTTTACAGTGAACACACTCCGTCCCTCACTGCCAAGTTTCTCCTTTGATCGTGTGTGTGTGTGTGTGTGTTTGTGTGAGTGTGTGTGTGTGTGTGTCCTCATTTATGATTGCGTCGTCATGATTTCAGATATCAGGGGACATCTCATCTCAATTAGTTTTTTATTGTATAATAGAGAATGAATCATGTCATTAATCATGTCACATGCATTAGACTTTGTGCAGCTGGCTTTGTGTTAAATCTGCTGCATTTTGTCTCAACAACAGTTCAACTTTACTGTTGTTTTAACACTCACATTAGTCAACTCAAACGTATTAAATGTAACAGATCATTGGTTTTCTTGGTGTGTGGACTGCACTGATGTATTGTTTTGTTTATGTGTGATGCAGTAAAGTGTTTGATCTGATGCACTTTGATTGGTTATGTCAAAGCTGCAGAGATCAATATAAGGAAACCTCTTCACCTGATATGATTGTTTGATTTACACCAGCATCTTCAGTGGAGAGTTGCATTCCTTCTATGAGGACCCTCTCTGCCTGTTCGTGCTAGAAGTACTTTGTCGTTGCCATTTTGTTTTATTGGAAACCAGAAGGGATCATATGTGGACGAGAGGGAGGAGCTGTGGAAGAGACTCTGTTAGCAGCGAGCTGATGTTCTGAGCAAATACACGCTTACGGTGATTTTAAATGGGATGCTAAAAAAAACTGGCTTGTTTGTAATTTAATGGTGAAAAATGAACAGCCGACTCTTCGGGCCTTGATCAGACCGAGACACCTCGCTAGAGACACGCCGCCCACAAAAAACATTTTTCTACGGTACGAGGTTAAAACGGTAAAATGTTCTCAACTGTTCGATGGCAGGCGTGGAGCCGCGTCGCTCGTCAATGTCACACTTGGCCCGAGCAGCCAATCAAATCAAGCCAGTGGCAGGCTTTACTACTTTAATGACTGGGGGAGCACTGCAGTAATGTTCAGAATCCCAGAATAGTTCAACACTTGGCTTCAATCTCTGTGATAATTAAGTTATTTTCTTGTGAAATAATAAATGAATCGTATCATCCTCCAGACCTTGAATCGTCTATAGATCCACATCTAGTTTGAAAAGGCCAAAATGAAAATAACCACTTTGAGTGAAGGTCACTTTTCAGTGTCTTTGTGCGCTTTGAGGAGCTGAGGGTTTATAGGTCAAGTGTTTCAAACTGTGTGTGTGTGTGTGTGTGTGTGTGTGTGTGTGTGTGTGTGTGTGTGTGTGTGTGTGTGAGCATACAGTATGTGTGTGAATGCTTTAATGTACAGCTGTGTGTGTGTGTGTGTGTGTGCGTGAGCATACAGTATGTGTGTGAATGCTTTATTGTACAGCTGTGTGTGTGTGCGTGTGTGTGTGTAATGAATGACTTCCTTCACATTGAACCTGTTCAGAGCCGTTCCTTCAGGCCTCTTTAGATCAGCGTGTTTGCTCAGGTGAGACTGAAGCTGTTTGAACTCTTATTGAACCAGATGTGAGTTTCAGTCCACTAAAATAAAGATCTGTGCTCCTTTAACACACATTTATACTTCCTACAGGCTGGTGGTGTTCACAGAGCTCTGCTAATTGCTTCACAGACTTTTGATCATCGGTTATATGTGTGAAAAACGTCCTCTTTCTTGTGAAATAATGAATCAATCTGTGTCCTGTGTGCTTCAGTCAATATTTAACGGAGCAGTTTAGGCCTGAAGAGGAAGGATTCACTCTGACAGCTACAGGAAGTTGACCCCAAACTGAAACAGATTATATATTTAATGCGCAAAACACATCAGGCATGGAGCCGCTGTGGGACTGCTTCCCTTCACTTTAGTGCAAAGACAAATACTTCATCTACCACAAGTTCATGAAGACGTTACTCTATCCATGGCTTTTTAAATCACCACCCAGCTAGAATGGATTTCATGATTCATCCGATACCTGCTCTGTATGCCAACACAGACAAGTAGACGCCCATTGAGTTCAAATGAGCTTTGAGTTTCCCACAATCAGCCTTTAAATCACTGTGTGTAGGACCGTATACGAGTGTGTGTGTGTGTGTGTGTGTGTGTGTGGTTTACAGACGTCTAAGTGTGTGTATCTGTGTGTATCTTTGCAGCATGGTGAGCAGTGGCAGAAGAACGCCTGCACCACATGTGTGTGTGACCGGGGTCAGTCTAAATGCCACACACACACCTGTCGGCCTGTCACCTGCGAGAAGGTGAGTAGCCTTACACACACGCACACACACACACGCACACACACACACGTACACATGCACACACACGCACACACACACACACGCACACACACACACATGCACACACACACACATGCACACACACACACACAAACACACACACACAGCTTGCTAGAGGAGGAGAGAGGACCATGAATCCAGACACACATCCAGTACCACGCACAGACAAGTACAAGGCAATGCAAATACAAGAGACAAGTAAAATAAAAGATAACATCAAACAGAAGTAGAGCGAGGAGTTTAATTTTTGATTTCAAAGGACAAAAGTTGCATATTCCAGATAATCACAGAAGCTAAACACATCTTCTCTTTGTGGTTCTGACTGGAGGCGACCAGCTGACTGAAGATCTAAAGGCCCAACTGAGTTTATATTCTTTAAGCATATGAAAAATGTATTTTAGTTTGAAGCCACTAAGTAATTTATAAGCTAGCAGCAGCAATAAAATCTGTCCTCCAGCTGGAGGACAACCTTTAAGATGAGGAGACATGAGGAGCTATGGTGGAGGACACCAGCCCACAGGTTCTTCACTTCTTCTTTGTTGTGTTGATGGACTTCTGACCCAATCAGACTCCTCCCAAGGTTCTGCCAGAGATCCCATTATACCGGTGCTGTTTAGGCAGACACCGTTGCATGAGACCACTTTGCTGGAACTGAAAGCATGAATGAGCTTCTGTAAATCGTGCACTTTATTTTTAAATTGGCCGTAAAATATATCGTCTTGAAAAGTAATTTCGTCAAACAGCTGGTCACTGTAGCTTTGATCAAACAAACACGAGGAAGCTGTGCATATGTTGGGGACTATAGCAGCACGGTGAATGTGGCATTGAGTCTGAATAAACTACAGTTATTAGTGTTCATGGTGATGAAGGAGCAACAGTGAGGCTCACTCATGCGTTGTAATGGAGCTCTACGGCTCAAAGATGGTTAGTACATAAATTCACTGTTAATTATCTCTACATATACATTTACCATAAATCAATATAGTTCAGTTCATTTCAGAACGTTGTTGCCCCACAAGAGGGAAAGTCATTCAAATGACACAATACAACGAACAACAAAGATCCATGAAGAAGTTTTTGGTGTATTTGAAAAACAGGTGTTTATTGCACATTGGAATGTCTTGCTTCTGATTTTTGGAGATCTACATAATATCGAGTGGCCAGTAGTGAAGTAGAGCATACCGAGCTGGAATCACTTTTGTTTTGTAGGAAGCACATAAAGCGCAGCGGCCACACCTTTGATGCTCTTATAAAACCTACAACCACTGCGTGGTGTTTCTCAGGCTTCCAGTGGAACCCCCTTTGAAGCACTTTGCTCTTCCACTCAAAGTTTCCGTCTATTTAAAACCTAAAAATGAAAGTGAAAACATTCTCAGCTCGCAGCCCTTTTCCCTCCACTGATGGTAACAGAAAAAAGAAAAACCGAATCACGCAGTGCGAAGAGAAGATCCCAGTGGACTCACAGCCTCCAAACCAGCACTCTGAAATGAGCAGAGGAACAAGCTGAGCTCATTACTCACCACTCTGTTCTGTTAATACACGGATAGACTTTGAGCTCACGGCCTCCGCTTATAGAGGAACGTGTCTTCATGAGATCCAGAGGATCTCACACACTGTCACATCTGCAGTGTGAGTAAATCTACAACGTTTCCCTTCATAATGCAACACTCTCTCTGCTTCTTCTTATCTGTCCGCTGAAACACACAAGCAGCAACAACCAGCCTTCTTATGCGCTGCTGTGTTTTTCTTTGTCTCGTCTGAAAGCTCGGTTTTTCGTTGCTTCGTTGACGTCATCTGTGCCGCACAAACAATCACAAACTGCTTCTCCCTCGCAGGGTCAGACCAAAGTGAAGCGAGCGGGTCAGTGCTGTGACGGATGCGCCGCCGCCAAAGGAAGCTGCCCGTACGAGGACGCCGTGCGCTACCACGGAGACATGTGGAACGGCACGGGCTGCGAGTTCTGCACCTGCAACCGAGGTCAGGTCGTCTGCCAGAGGGCCGAGTGTGGACGCGTGGAATGCCCGCAGGTGAGCCTGAAATACAAAGTCTTTATTATAAACTGAGGAGCAAATCTGACCTCATCTTTGGAAGCTGGAGTTTTGTTTGTTAAGTGTAGTTTTGTTGCCACAAACATTTCCTCAGAGGCCCTAAAAGGCTGGATAGGACCGTCTTACCAGAATTCATGTAGCCGAGCCAGAGAGCTAAAAAGTGGAACCTAAACTTAACAGCACAACGTTGGCCATGCAAGCACATCTACCTGGTGAAATAGCCTGTTGCATGAATGGCATTGGTCTACTGTTGACCTGCTATTAACAGCACAGAGAGTAAAAGGAATGCTGGCTTGACTTGACTAATTGATACCAAGACCTGTAATCCACGTAGGAGTACATGGATAATGTGTGTAACCTACTAAAGTTCATACTTATACTGTTAGGAGTCAGTATGGAACATCATCTGTGGACCCAGGGTTCTATTCCTGCAGCCTCCACCTGTTCTAAGTTCTCCTATCCCCCAAAATGCAACATGTCAGCAGCCAGAAATCCCATTTCCTTCCCTTCAAGTGGGCCACTAAAACGGTAATGGGAGATGTCACAGTTACTTTGCTCACAGTTTCCGACAGTCGGTTTAATTTGCCACATTGAGATGTATCAGCTCACCAGCTGTCGTCATTGGTATTTAGGAGATTGGGTTTGAATGGAGGAAAGGGTGATCGTCTGAGGTTACAAGGTTGGCTGCGGCTTCCATCACAGGTAATTCAGCTCAGTTAAGGTGACGAGATTTGAAAGACAAGTTGAGACCGTAATGATCTTTGTGAAAGCTGCACTACGACTTCACTAGAATCTGTCTGGTTTACACTGAGCTGCACCTGCATCAAGCTGACGTCACAGTGAGGTGCCTTTCCCGTCTAAAAACATGTGGGAAACACCAGTCGGATCGCCTTCATCTTTAAATCCAAGATGCTTGGAGGGGTTGCGCTCCTGTCGCGGCTGCCTCACCGACTAAACGAAATAAAGGCAAAACAAAGAGACTGCTGGATTAGTCATCTGTAGTCATCTTTGGCTGAGCTTTAAACGGGTGAAGCAACTCAAATAGTCAAAGAGTTCGTAGAAACTGGAACAGATGTTGAAGCTCCGGGTAGTCCTCCGCTAAGTGGATTAAATTCTCCGACCTATATTTATTGTAGACTGATAGTTACGGAAAAATAAAAAAACGGAAAAATACGGAAGTTTCCTTTTAACTCAGTGATGATATCCTCACGTCGAATCAGCCTGAAATGAACATCATCATGGTGGCCTTCATGTGGAGACATCCGTCTCAGAATTCACTCGTTTTGTTAAGGTCATTATCCGGCGTTCCCGTAGTTGCCTTTATCCCCTAAACTGACCCACTTTGGGTTTCGGCTCAGCACCTCTTCCGATGTTTATCTTACGTCATGCAGGTTTAATGACATCACATTAATATCTCCTGCCAGGACCGAACCCTCATTAATCACGCCGTACAGTGATTATTACAGCTGCTGAGTGTCATGAGCCATAAGCAGAGTCATTGGCGTTTGTCCAGCTCTGGATGGAGCGAGGTCACTCCGCTAAGAAGAGCACAGTCATGCAGTTCTCCCCCCGTGTGTGTTTGTCAGTGTGCAGGACGAATAAGAGGAGGTTGAGGGTCTACCAGGCAGAGAAAGGCACCGGGGTACAGAGGAGGGTTATGAGTCCTTACGGTGCCATCTGCACTGGTAATGTACTCTAATTGTCCTGTGAGGAGCTCTTAATTGAATTAATGGAATGTTGCCATTGTGATGTGCAGAGCTTCTAACTTAATATATTCTCCATGTTTTACTTCTTATTAGAGGATTTCTAAATGTATGGCCTGAGCAGATTGTGAGAGGGTTTCTAAAGATAAAACAATACGTTGTGGACATTATGTGAAATTCATTTTTCATTTCCTACAAGTTCAAGGCCCCGGGGAGGCGAAGAGCAGCGCTGTGTGCAGAAGGTTCCTAAACTATTGGAGCATTCTGCTCCTCTTTCAAAACTCCAGAGATTTCTGTCGATGCTTCGTAGACAAGAAGCATCGACGCATGGAGCTGAATCATTATGATCATTATGATCAATAAGGATGTTTTCAATCAGTACAGCACACAACTCTCTCTGTACTACATCCTGTCCTTTTAAGAGCTCTAAACTCTATTTTATCTTCTCATGCTAAACCTTGAGTGATCTTTCAAAGTCCTCTTCTTTATTTTATTAAGATGTAATATAACAAAGGTTTATTATTACCAGCTCAGCGTAATAATCAGGAATCAGAAAGACTTTTTTATGCTTCATTCATTAAACAATTCTCTCTCTCTCTCTCTCTCTCTCCTCCCGCTTCTTCCTAATCAGCTTATTATGGGCGTTCACTTTGAATCTGTTCCCCTGTCTGCTGCTTCAGCACCCCTTAACATATATGACGCTACGATGGAGTCAAACCGTCAGTTTCTCTCCTTTACGTGTCAATTAAAACACTGCTTGCCTCAGAGTGAAGTCTCTACCGATGAGGACAGTCATGCTGGAGAGTTCTTCCCAATCCTTTATAAAATGTCAGGATGTTGTCAATCTCACACAACAATTGTATCTACAACTGAAGCGCTTGAGATTATTAATGAATGTGCATTTTCTGTAAATTTGTTCAACTAAAATGAAGTTGAATTGAACAGAATTGGAGTGACTGAAATAAGTGCAGCAGCAGATAGATAACTGTGAGAAACCCAGTATACATGACATGTTGTTTATCATGCTTAATGTGAAACAACAACGTTCTTCATCTCCTGACTCATCTTTGAGAGTAAAGACTTGTGGCTCTGAGGTGATTTCCCTGTAGTTTAACATTTAAATCCATATTTTCTATCTTTTTCAGGGATCTGAGCTCGTTCACCTCCCGGGAAGGTGCTGCCCGGAGTGTTCCTCTGAGGAACCTTCCTGTTTGCACGAGGGGGAATCCTACAAGGTACTTTCTTTAAATTTCACTTTGAGTGTGTTTGCAAAAAGAAAAGAAAAAAAATCGGAGTGAAAATTGCAAAATCAGGTGATGAATCCAAACTGTGTGGGCGAGACACAGACACTGCCGGGCTTCTGTAAACTCTAATCTCAGAAGTAAAGAGAAAGTAAAGTGCCACTGCAGAGGAGGCTGCCACACAAACAGCCTAATGCATCAGTATTAAGCTGGTTATGAATACATAAATACAAACAGTGTCAGTGACACAGAGTAAATGTGTGTTTCAGGACAGAGCGATCAGATTACTTTGGAACAAGAAGCTCTTATTATTCTGGTGTCAACTTCATTATTCATACGCAAGTCCTGGAAACCCAGAATGTTCCAGCAGAAGGAGGAAGGCTCATTAGATGCTGCAGGACGCTCGGCCATGGCCGAGGCTCCCCGAGGGATTCATTTAGTAGCAAACAGAGAGGCGGCTCGCTCACACATCCATACGTGCAGCGCTCCGCTCCAGTGTGTCTGAAGGTGAAGGGAGCAGCTCTGTGGCCGCGTCATTGCTGGTTTAACTTCACAGGAAACATCACAGCGCGGAACGTTAGTGAGCAACAATAACCACATGTTTACCTGTCGCCTATCTTTAATTATTAACACGGTAATCACGTGTCTATTTCAAGACTTGATCGTCCCAAATGGTAAAACTGTGTTACATGTGATCAGTTGTTTTGGTTTAAATAACGTGATGCATGTTGTTTGTGTTGTGTTCACTGGAATCAGGCACACGGACGACACGCACGAGGTCATGTTGCTGTCGTGATGGAAGGAAATCTGTCATATAAAATCCTTTGGTGTCTACTGTTTTTGAAGATTATTCTAGTACTACGTGTGACTATAATATGCATGTTTCTCTTAATATTCTATTTCAAACTTAAACAACTTTATCTGTGAGGAAGCTCCATAACGTCCAGTTGTTAATTCTAGGGATGCTCTGATATTGATATCAGATGTCAGATATTGTAGAAGGATCGGCTATCGGTGACGATGATCCGATCAGGTATCGGGTACCATTATTTTTGATAAATAAAAATAGTATGTAATGTATTTATTTGTTATATTCTGTTGTGTTTTAAGTCAGGTCTCTTAAAACGCTTTTATTTTGAAGTTGCAAGGAGATAACCCGGGCAGTGCTTTGTGGCTTTAGTGATGACATGAACGTGAGACGTCGGATGCTGCGTTACAGAACCTTACATCACAACCATGTGAGCACAGTGATGACTTACTTCCTACTTCCTGTAACAGTTGACTGCTGCTGAGATCTGCTGGTTCAGTGAAACGGTGGATAGTGAGGCAGCAGACTCTGCAGGCTGCAGCTTTTCTTTCCTCCTCAGAGGACATCTTTGCACAGAAGTGGTTCGTGAAAGAGTTCTGCTGTAAAAAGAAGAAAAACCAAAGAGCTCACGACGCTTCTTAGTTCTCTGTCAGTCAGAAAAGTTCTGATCCTGTGATGTGAAGCGTTCGTCCTTGTCTGCGAGCTCTGACTCGCCATCGGATTGTTTGGAGAAAAATGAATTCATGATTCATAAAACCGTCTGACTTTTCGCCGTTAAACCTGTTTCTTTTTATTGTGAGTGACGTTCCTGCTGTTTGACTGACTGTCCGTCCTCAGTGGGACTTCTGTCAGTAAAGAAATCCTGCTTTGAAAATATATATAAAAGTCTCGACTGTCGGGCGTCTTCTCGTCTATAACTGACACATGCAGCTTATTAGCATTCAGTTTAGCGCCCGGTCAGCTTCTCTAAAGCTCTGTTCCTCTGTTGTTTGGTGTTTTTATACATCCTGTACATGTATTCACCACCGCTTCAACCTCTGCCTTCACCAGGTGTACTAAACTATTCTATCTCCCCCCGTCTGTCTTTACCTGTACCTCCCTCTCCTCTCAGGACCTGGCTCGATGGTCGGATAGCGGTTGTCGGGAGTGTGAATGCCGCCGCGCTCAGGTGACCTGTTACCTGCGCTCCTGCCCCACCTGCCCGCCGGGCACCCTGGTCGTCACCCGGGAGGGCCGGTGCTGCCCCGAGTGTCACCAAGGTACGTTGCTGCAAAGGATGCTGGGTGTGTGTGTTACGTCTCCTAACGTTCCTCCGCTCCATCGAACCCCATTTAACATAGACCTGTTTTCAGCTGAAAGAATTCTGAGTATTAAAGAATGAGCTTTAAGATTCATCTGCCACACACTGTTAAATCTGTGATGCCCCCGAGAGTTATTGTGGGATGAAGTTGTCACTTTACTTTAAATTTCATGCAGAAGCACATTCTCATTTACCACAATGCCCTGAAAACGTCGTACACAGTCAAAGTTTACAGGCATAAAAATACCACTAACTAGCAGAAACACACCACGTGACTGTCGTACTGAGACGCTGCTTGTTGCATCTCAGTGTGTTTTCACACCACTGTGCTGAAGTCGGCCTCTCTGCTTGTTCTTTGGTCGATTTCTTCCCGTATGACTATTTGTTGTTGCTACAAATCTGGGACACCAGATTGAAGTTGTTTTGATTCTGAGGGCTTTGACACAAAACAGTTTTGAAGGAAACCAACATATTAAACTAGTAAACTACTGTAAGAAGCAACAGTCACAGCACAATGGTAACTTATTCACTCTCAACACATGATTAGTTATGTTATTAATGTCATCCGGAGAAAAAAACTAAAACACAGATAATTATTATTTTAGGAAAGTCACAGTTCATTTGCATATTGTGTAAAAGGAAAACCGACACATGAGGGGAATCTGTTTCTATGTAATCTATTAAATACATGACTGGAGTCCCCCAGGACCCCAACTTTGGTATATTTAAAACAGAAAACAATGATGTGATGTCATTGGGAACAAATTGATTGACAAAGTCATGAAATATTGGAATGATAGAATAAAACACACTGTCACATACAACGAGAAGAACTCCTCTGGGGTTTGCAGTGTCTCCAGTTAGTAGGATGAGGGTTAAACATACAGTGAGAGTCGGGAGTGTTTTTGCAGACTTTTGTTCTTTAAGACTCGACTCAACATAAAGGCGTCTCCAAAGAAAAGCTTCCACACTTTTGTTGGTACACTTCCATGTAGTGCACTGAGTACACTATGCAGCGTTAGTGATGATCGCAACATTTGACCACTTCTTCTTCTTCTTCTTTATCATGGAAAACTGGACAAAGCGTTAACTCCAGTTGTTTGTGCACTTGACAAGTGTATTAAAACAGGGAAAAAAAGATCTGTGTGACTTTACTTTCATGTATCTGCCGCATTTTCACAAGTTCTGTGGACCGCTGCGTAGCCAAGATGGCGGCCATTGAGCTCACCTTTTGAACCGTTATGATGGTGATGACCAGGAAACTCATGGTGCACTGTTTTGCCACACTTGTGTCTCTTATGCTTTAAAAACACTTGCTCTAGAGAGGTGCTACCGGTACATAAATACACTCTGCTTTATTTCTAATACTGCGTATGTAAATGAGAAGCTGGTGGGATAATGAAAGAAAAGAGCAGGAAGAGAAGCTCCTAAACAGAGTTATAGAGTTTATAGAGGCGGCCAGGACGACAGAATCCAACTTGTCCTTCGGGGACGTGAGGCAGTGCTGGCAGAGTCCAGACGGTCCTCAGTCCATCACTGCTTTTAACTGCAGATCAAACCTTTATGTCATATTCACTCCATTTCTACATGTGAATATCAACATCAAATTCAAACGTGTGTTTAATAAACAAGCATGCTTATACGATTTAGAATTCCTGGGTTTTGTTTTTGTTTTTGTTCAAACCTAAAGCCATCATTTGAAGCTGTGAGCAGTTTAAATAGTTTAAAAGCTCTCTGAGCTCCCCCTCTCCTCCCTGGGGACTTGAAGTTACATGAATAAAACAAGAAAAACTTTGTTGGACAGTTTTCCATGGCAGAATATATATATACAGCTATTTAACAATTAATGAGTGCAAAAAGAAGCTTTCAGTACGATACGGTGTAGCTGTAATGGTGACCTCAGTCCCAGTAGGGGCAAATACCTTCTTTTTTAAATGTTCCTTTAACCCGTTTCAGCAGGAAACACCACAAAGTGAGAAATGAAAATGCTCTCGGAGGCATTCAATGACGGCTTTGAGCTCATTTCCTGGTGTAGACCACACAGTCACATCCCCGCACTTCTGTTTCACGTCCCTCCAAATACAAAATAATGTCTGATCCATCTGTCTCATTGACACAGACTGTCAGCAATTACAACCAAACAAACACATGTTAATATCTCATATAGTTAAATACCCCAACAGGCGATCACACGGCGGGACAACGTTGTTAAGATTCATGAAGACTTCTAATTAGGTTTGGCTGCGTTGAGAGAATAATTACAGTCGGGCACCGGAGACATTCGTCACTGCAGGACACACGATTGGACCGTTTAAGACCCAGACGATAGTTTGATGAGGTTCTCCTTCGGTTTCTGTGTGTTCCGCGTCCCTCGACAGACTTCCTGCTCTCTCAGGTTTCTACTATTTACAGCATTTCTCTCAGCAGCAGCTTATTAGAATGTCTAAAAAGTAAAAACACAGTATATTCTCTGGAAAATACAGTCTAATTAGTCCAGGTACACAACAGGGGAAACGTATAAAACCTATTGCTTCTGATTTCACTCTGTTTAATTCAACAGTTTCTCAAATAACCACATTGGTTATTAATAATATCGACCAGCTGGTGCAGTGGTGCAGGATTTAACTTCATATGAAGGTATATATATAGATATATAAATATATATATCTATATCTATATATATAGATATATATACTGTAATTATTTTAGACGTCACAGCGTCTTCTGTCTTTGCTTGTTAGTCATCTCTTAGATAACAGGAAGACCAAATCCCACTGAACTGAACTATCTACTTTCATATTTGTTAATCTTGGTAGAGAAACACCTGGAGGCTTTTCATCTTTCTATTTTCTATCCTCACATTGAAAAACCTCCCGAATTCATGCCATCCATTGCATTCTCAAGGTTCTTTACTTTTTATATGATTCTTTATCAGTCCCCTCTCCTCTCTCTCTCTCTTTATATACATATATATATATATACATATATATACATATATGTATATATATATATATATAGATATATATATATGTATATATATATATCTATATATATATATATATATATATATATGTATATATATATATATATCTATATGTCTACGTAGAAATGATGGTGCTGGAGAGGAAATGTCCCCGTCTCTCTTTACATATGGTACATTGTGTTCATGTGCCAGAGTTGATAACGTTGGTTCTGGAGCGGTTACATGTGTGTTTCCATGTTGAAGGTACAGGGCGATGATGTGCATGTCTGTGTGAATACTATCTGTAGTATAATGTGTGTTTTGCGTACATACACAGCGATTCTGGTGTGTGCCTGAGTGAATAATTTAAGCGTGTTTGTCACATCATCCTACACTTGCACCTGTCATCACCTCGCAGCTTGTGTGTGTGTGTGTGTGTAGTACAGTGATGGTATTATAATGCATATATATGCATGCCTTAACAACATGATTTAAACGTGATTTACACACTTCACTTTACGTTCCTGTGCTGATGAGGGACACGTGTGTTCACTCCTTTTACTCCGTCGGCCTGGCTGTGGACTGGATTTTCCGACTGTGTGTAGTTTGCAGCTAAAAATAGAGAAAAAAGGAATAAACACCCACATTCTCTCTTTCGCTTCAACTGTAAGCGTAAATCTTCCTTTAAGCCTGTTAATCATGGCTATCTACAGGCCCAGAGGTCAGCAGCCTCTCCTCTCATTGGACACTTCACACCCGACATAAACAGGAGCCGTGCTGCGTTCAGGTGTCATGCACGTACGGTCTTTTGCCATACATGTAGTTAGTGCTGATATATAAACCAGTCGATCAGGGCTTACTGGTTAAATATCCTCAGTGATACATATTTGGGCCTCCTTTAAGCACCAGGATTAGGTGTTAAATCCACTTCCCTAACCTTGGAAAGGACCCCGGAGACGTCCTAATCCCTCGTTATGTCGGAGGAGGAATGTTTAGGGAATTCTTTGACAGAAACGGAATATTTTCTATGGCTGAACTTCTGCAGAAAGCAATGCTTCCTTCCCCAAAGACTCCACAGCCCTAATGTCTTCTGGCATCGGGGAAATGCAGCTTTGTAACGGCGATTATTTCTGTCTGACACGACCAGCAGTTCTGCACACGATACATCGCACTGGACTCTTCCGGCGCCTCAGATAATGTGCAAAAATATTCTTTTCTCCAACACAGAATAAAATCACCGCATAATAACTATTATTACACGGTTCTATTATTGTATAGCTGACTCCATCATTTCATGCAGACACATTTAAATGTCCTAATCTTTTAATTTGTGAATACATTGACTTTGTCAGTGTTTACGATCTGTCTATTTGTCAAACGGCACATCGGTCTGATTGTTACATTTAAGCTGTTTGGCATCATATTATTTTATTGGCCTCACTTAGTAGCGGTGCTACTTTCTATTATCTACAAACCACAACTATCAGGTGAACCAGTGGTGGAAAGTAAGTACATTATACAATAAGTACAGTACATCAAGACTTGATTGATCTCCAGGAGGAAATTCACATAGCGTACTATAAGGGTACTGCAGCAATAAGAGTGGTAAGTAAAACTACCTCCACCTTTACCAGCAGCAACGTTAAAGTGGCGCATTAATAATTATAATTCAGTAATATAATACATGTTATTCTAAAATGGGCCATTCTGCATTATTAGTACTTTTACTTTTCATACTTTAAGTATATTTTTATGCTAATACTTTTGTACTTTCACTTGAGTACGATTTTGAATGCAGTACTTTTACTTTAAACAGAGTACTTCTAGATTATTGTATTGGTACTTTTACTCAAATGTACTAAATGCAGATCAAACCTATGATTGAGGGATTGTCTCCACATGGCTCTCAACATGGCGACGGCTCAGCTGGTGGCTGAGCCACCACACACACACACACACACACACACACACACACACACCGTTTAAAGTCTCTTAATCCCGTCACCATTATTTCATCAATTTTAATCAACAGAGTTTGGAGGAATGAAAGGGATTTGATCCTCTTTGAGGCGTTATTGTCTCACATAAAGAGTCTCCTGATTGAACATTTGGCAGCAGAATGCATGAGTGAATGGCTGAATGGTGCCGTGTCTTTTTTAGTGGGAATCAGGGTGTGAAATCACCGTGAATCACCAGCCAACTGCTAGTAAATGTTGGCTTTGGAGGGTAAGTTGTTGGCTTATTCTCTTAGTCACTGTGGCAGGTAGCCAGTCTCAGTTAGAGGTCAGTCCAGTTGGCTGGGGATTTCTTTTTTCCTCTCTTACACTTGTTTCTCTTGACATTTGGGGACGAAATATCCTCGTCTCTGCCAAATATTTAACACATCTGCAGTGAGAAGTTTTGTCATAATCAAGTGGATCTGCACCTCCAGATGAATTGTTTCCCAACAACTTCTGCTGTTAATCACAGCTGTAGTTTTTTAATTTAGCGCTTCAGGGATACTGGCTCGCTATGCTTATGAGGAAATGAAAGCACGGCGTCGAGGCAGCCTTCTGTAAACAATGTGTTATCGCTTAACTTGTACAGGAAATGTGGTTTTATCCTCTGGAGGGAGGGAATAAATATCCCGTTCACTTCTCAGCTGTCAGCAAACGAGGGATGATCTTGTTTCTATTCAGGTGGAGTTTTGTATTCAGATATACTCATTTGTTTCCACTGTTTAACATGCAGAGAGAGCTCAGGATGGACGAGTCCACACCGCATGCCGGGATATATGCGAGACTGTCGGTACATTACCTCCAGCTGAAGCGTTGGACACGGCTGAGCAGACACACAAACACTTGACTAACATTCCTATTAGCCAATAAGCCCGAACATACAGTATCTCAATCTCCCACTGTTCTCACTCTACTTCCTTCTTCACACACTTATTATTTTTGCTTCAGCTCCAGTTTCTTTGCTCAGCCAGAGAGAAGACGAGGGGGATGAACGGGGAGGAAAAGAAATGAGAAGAAAATGGACGGGAGAGAACAGATGAAGCTGTGTGGGAAAGAGAACAATGAGAGGTAGAGAGTGTATAAAGAGAGATGGAGATACTTGGAACAGTGTGTTCTGGCTTACTTCTTATGTTCTTCAACTCTTTATCCACTTGTCCCCTCTCATAGTCTCTCCAGTCTACAAGTCCTCTCATTTTCTGTCCCCCGTTCTATTCGTCTCCCTCCTTCTCCTCGCATTAATCAGATCCCTCAGTCGCATGTTTACAAGTGGCTGAAGCCCATTCTTTACTCAGTGCATGTGCAAGCAGCCGCGCATGCTGTTTGACGAGAGGCTGCGCGCATTCACGTCTTCTGACATCCAGCTACGACGAGTGTCAACCCGGTCTCTGTCGGTGCTGATGCCGGCGGCGTTTGTGTGAACGAGTTGAAGGAGTTTCTCCATTCATGAGACTGTATTTGCAGACTTTTAAAAGCTAGTTAAGCTTTTCAACAGAACAAAGAGGATACCGGAGACTTTGACGTCTGATTGTAATGTTTGTCCCGTCCAACTTCTTTTGGACATGAATGGGATTAAGATGAGTTTTCTCTGTAGAGGACGAGAGGAGAACAAACTCCCTTCAGTTCAAATATATAAAAACAACTTCAACAAACTCAGAAGGAACAATGATTTCAGGTCACAAGTGCTCGGACTTAGTGATGGAACGTCATGCAAAAGTTTAAGCAGTTCAACAGAATCCCAACACTATGAGAGGATTACACACAGTGTTAATATAACTGTATCCTTACTGATTCAGCTGAAGTCAGCGGTGGGTAATAACTTTTCCTCGTGTACTGTACTTAACGTACAATTTTCAGCTACTTTCTTAGAAAGTTTTTCCATCTCTGCTACTTTATACTTCTGCTCCACCACATTCTGGAAGCAAATATCGTAATTTTGATTCCATTACATTTATTATTAGTTACTTCCCACATTCAGACTATTAATACAAAATATAATCAACTAATAAATGATTATGTTGTTATGGATTACGCTACCCGACGATAAAAAGTATTAATCAGCTCCAGCTTGACAAGCTACAACATTGAAGTAATGAATACATGAATGCTTCACTAATTATCATCAATAATATAGTACTCATTATTCTGAAATGGGCCATTTCGCTGAATGAGTACTTTTCCTTCGGCACTTTAAGTATATTTTAACGGCAATGCTTATGTACTTTTACTTCAGGCTGACGTGATATGGATCAAATCTAATGACATGGACGTCCATATTGTGAGGATATGTACGGGGCTGTATTGGTGCTGTTACAAAATATTTACACAATGGGATTTTTTCATAAATAATCATCAATAATATCGGCACAATGACTTTAGTGGGTGATGTAACCTTTAAAAGCAGGAAGAGACAACACGTATATCATATTAAAATATCCAAAAGACCATATCTAGTCTCATTTCATGATACTGATATGATATCAATATATTGCAAACTCTACTTTTGCTTGTAACAGAGTACTTCTATACTCTTATTTTTAAGTAAAAGTACTTCTGCCAACAATGCTTGTATGTTACCTCATACTGATCGTCTTCAACATAGCAGGTATTGCTTTTTAAACCTCAAAATGTGATTGATTTGTCCGCTCTTTGTTTCTAAATGTACTTTATTTCTAAACGTATTCACACTTGTGGTGATCAGAGCGTCGTAGTGAGGATTACAACAGACGGACGGAGATGAAAAAGTGTTGCAGAAATAGCAACAAGCATGGATGAGATGAGTTTGTTGTGAGTGGACTTACAGGAATAACTGTGACCTGTAAGTGCACTAATGTTTACTGGTCAACAACAACCAGCCGGCCACCAGAAGCAGCATGAATGTGCATTTAGATAACGACAAACACGCAGTTTACACGCCGGCTCAATGACTCTGTAATGACTTTAAAGTGCAGTTGGTCCACACATTAAAGATACAAGCCTGTGCTTGTCTCTGCGTGTTGTTGGTAGAATGTTGGACCAACTGGGAACCAGTGTGGGCAGTGAAAGCACTTAAATGGCTCGTCACAAAACGCACCAGTGGGTTTGTTGGCAGACAGCAGAAGACTGTGGACGGCTCAAAACCTCCCCGCAGGGAGGAACTTTTCCACCACGGCTAACACAGTCTGACTGTGGAACCAAATGTACTGGATTGATTTGTGAACAAAATAATTTACTGTGTGTGTGTGTGTGTGTCTGTCTGCCTCCACTAACTGAGTTTCAGTGCAGAGCCAAATCTGATAGACGGAATTTGCATAAAATTAAACGTCAGGATGTGTGTCACTGAATGAGACTTCAAGTCTTCAAGTGCCACCAGCAGTGTCTGTCCAGATGTGTAGAATACAATTAGCATGAAATTGAATGTGTGCGTGTCATGCATATATAATCTGTCCGTATCTTTTACTGTCAATGCAAACGTACTGTATTGAGTTCTTCCTTTTGAAATGTGTGTTTTTCAGTCCAGTGCCATGCAGACTGCCTGTCGTGCTCGGGGTCTCCCGACCAATGTGAGAGCTGCAGGGACCCGAAGGCCGTCCTCCATCTGGGCCGCTGTCTGTCCGTCTGTCCAGCCGGCTACTACGCCGACGGACGAGTGTGTGCAGGTAGGACCGTCTTTTGAATATATAAATGTCCAAACCGCCTCCAACCTGTCCCTTATCTTGCAATTATCTCACTTCACACAATGATCTTGTAAGGAAAAGTAGCTCCCAATGAATTCAGATTTCTGTTATCTTTTATATTCTACTGGTGACCCTGTAGAAGCTCTACAGAGGCTCCCTGTGGTCCGCATACCACCGTTTGGGAATCAGGTTTAGTGACCCTCACCTAAATACCACGGTACTTGTACTAGTACCTGTACTTCCTGATGGCTGTTAAGAAAGAAAAGTTAGCATTTTTATAGAAAAGAAGGTTTCAACAATACAATAAATCCATGTTGTGATTTTAAGCTGCATCTCTCCCATCAGAGAATTATTCATTGAAAACCATGAAGAGGAAATATAGATTTAAATGGTAGCTTTTCAACATGGACCCTATTTTGTAATGTTTTTGTGTCTAAGTGACTAATGGGGACAACATCTTTTGAAATTGGTCCAGTATTGAAGGAGAAGGCCGCCAAATGGCTGCAAAGTAATCGCTCGGGTCGGCTCTTCACTGTCAACGTACGTCCACTAAAAGTGCTTTCTTTGTTATTATAAGTGTCTGAATAGAGAAATAAAACCTTTTTCTTTACGTTTCCTTTGATCCAGTTGTTGTAATTGCGTGTCTCGCTCGGAGAAGTCTTGTTGTGTCTCATCCACAATGTTGAAATCATCTAAACATTCAGCCATGACATTAACAATCTTTTTATACAACACGACAATACAACACCGACGCTCCTCTCTCTCACTCACGTTTCCACCGTTTGTCTTCAGGCAACAAGTCACATGACTCAATAACAAACAGAAAGGTAAAGAAAAAGGTTTTATTTCTCTGAAGGGTTCTTTCCGTGATGTTGTCAGACACGTACAGTAACAATCTGAGGCTGTCAGCGGCAACAACAAGCTTTTTTAGTGGACGTAGAGAGATTACGTTGCCGTCATTCGTCACTTACACAAAAAACTAGGATCCAGGTTGAAAAATTCTAAAGTGACCCTTTAAGCTGAACTTTAGCTGCTGAAAACAAACGAAACCTTTGGCTCCACTTTCAAGAGGAAACATTTGTCAAAGTGCAGCAGCATTAAATAAGCAGCATTAAAATGTCGGACTGCTACGGTGTCTGTGTGTGAGTGCCTGCATCGGTACTGAGTTCATGCGATTGCTCTCTTCCCTCATCCTTTATTCATGTGTGTGTGTGTTTGAGCCTGTCGAGGTCACATGTTGACCGAGCGTTGACCCGCAAACAGACGCAATCTTCTGCGTTGGATTCCTTCCATGTCATTGACCTGTTGTCCTCGTGGGGCGTTTACTGCCCACAGCTACTCGTGAAACTGTAAACACACAAAACGTCGTAAAGCTACCAGGCACAGATAACGGTATTAACTCTGAAGACCTAGCTGCTAATGCTAGTGGCGGCGTCTTTCAGCAGCATTTCCACACTTGTGCTTCAGAGAGATAAAGAGGGATATTTGGGTAGTGCGGGGATTGTGTATCTGTGTTATCATACATTAATTCAAACAGGAAAGTTGGATTAAAAATATCTTTCCAAGACAGCAGCAGCACAATACAACACAGAAGCTACCAAACATATAACTCATTTGACTTAAACTAGATCAAATATGACGATTATAGTCAAACATCAATGATACAGATGTGATCAGAAGGACAACGCCAACAAGGATATGAAACTAGAATAACTGCCAAGTGGCATTTTACATCCATGTCTGTCCAGAATGTCCGTCTCGTGAACACGATATCTCAGGAACATCTGAAGTCCACCTGAACTCGAGGATGAAGTGATTAGATTTTTGCCCATAACTCAAGAATTCATATTCTTGTAATTCAATTTTTATTTTATTTTTAAACTACATTGCTTTAATGACATTTCATGCCAATAAAGTTGCTTCCAATCCTGACAAAACTTGCAGCTCACTCGTTTCAGTAATACTAAACCTGCTTTTTTGCGTCAACATTTTTATCAGCAGTTGAGTCATGAGCTATGTGTGAGTTGTGTGATCGAACCAATATGGCCGCCAGTAGACTGGAACATGCTCAGTCAATCCCACACAGCCTAATTTATACATTCCTAACTGAAGCTGCATCGATGATAAGATCGTGTCTCTCTCGTCGTCTCTTCTTCTCCTTTTCATCTTCCTTTCGCTTTCTCTCTTTCTCCTGTCGCCTATAGTCCGTCTATCTCACTATCTCTTTTTTTTCTAATCAATCTCCATCCTCACCATCATCTTCATAGTGTTGTTGCCTAAACCTAGCTAAGACGTTTTGTTGCCTAAACCT